TTGGTCTTTCACATGTGGTTGAAATTAGGGAAAAATTCAACACTGAAGTTGATTTCAGGGCTTGGAAAACTGAGCCACTCAGCTGAAAGTGTCTACCTGATGGGGCTAGGTAAAAGCAAGCATAATTCCAGCCAGGCTGTGAGCTGTCCATGCTTAACTAGCCAGCCAGTGTCAAGGTGTTAGACTCTGGCAGGTCTCATTTGATGACAGTGAAGTCTATAAACACGCAGGGTGTGAAGACAGAGCAATGACACTGCTGTCTGTGTGGCATGTGGACACTGGCTCCCTCCCTCTCTCCACGTGGGCTCTGCTCCTTAGTTTGCTCCTCAGACCCAGGCCCCAGCTTAGGCCCTGCAGCCTTCGTAATGCCTTCAGGGTTTGGCATGAGCACCCTGTCCTCACAGCCTGCTGGGGAGAGGGTAGGAGAGGTATACAGTAGGGGTGGGTTGTATTAGTTCATTCTCACATTGTTATAAAGAACTACCTGAGACTGGGTAGTTTATAAAGAAAAGAGGTTTAATTGGCTCATGGTTCCACAGGCTGTACAGGAAGCATGACGGGTTCTGGGGAGGCCTCAGGAAACTTACAAACATGGCGGAAGGCGGAAGGTGGAAGGCGGAAGGCACGTCCTACATGACTGGAGCAGGAAGGAGAGAGCGAAGGGGAAGGTGCCACATACTCTTAAATAACCAGATTTCATGAGAACTCATGAGACAACATCAGGGGGACGGTGCTAAACCATTAGAAACCACCCCCATGAGCCAATCACCTCCCATCAGGCCCCACCTCCAACACTGGGGATTACAATTCAACATGAGATTTGGGTGGGGACACAGATTCAAACCATGTGATGGGTAATAACAAGAGTCTGGGTCCATTGCTATGACTTACCCTTGACCTCTAGTGGGGAACAAGTCCCTTTGGGGAGCAAGGGCTCCAGGGGGCTGAGACTGGAAGAAATCCAAAGCTAGGGTGGCTCTGAGTCCAGGTGGCTCTGGACTTCTTACAATCCAGTCCTCATCACTCCAATCCTGTTGTTATAACAGTAACAATAATTCCTTATAGAATAAAAATTCTTATTTTTAAAAAATTTTTTTGAGACAGAGTCTCGCTCTGTCGCCCAGGCTGGAATGCAGTGGCGAGATCTCAGCTCACTGCAAGCTCCGCCTCCCAGGTTCATGCCATTCTCCTGCCTCAGCCTCCCGAATAGCTGGGACTACAGACACCCGCCGGCACGTGTTAGTGGAGGTCCTCTGAGAACCAGACACAAAGACAGGATTGCATGAGTAAGAGCCATATTGGGGGAACTGCCTGTGAAGGACAAAGAAAGAGGCGATAGAAGGCAGGGAGATCCTTCAGACCAAAGTACAGCTCTGACACCTGTGGAGGAGTGGGGAGGACAGGCCTCAGACTTCACAGCAGTTCTGAGAAAGGCTTGCCCAGGCCACTGGGGAGTTCTTGAGCCACAATCACCCACTGGAGGAGTCCCACGATCCACCTGCAGCAGTACTGTCCCCATGCTCCATCACTGGTGGAAAGCAGTCTGTGGAGGCAAAGCACGGGTGGACGGAGAGAAACAGCAGCTGGGGCTGTCAGTCAAGTCCATGCCGCAGCAGGTCTGAGTGGCACATTTTCATAGCCACCACGGTAACCGACAGACAGAAGGCTGGCCATGCCCCAAGAATGCAGGGCCAGAAGCAGGGACGCCAGAATCTGTCACTTCATTGCAGGGAGAGGGTGGAGGTCCAGGGTACCTCTGAGTAGGCCTTCATGCTTACACACAGTCACACGCTGCATAATGATATTCAGTCAGCAAGGAAGCACGTATATGACAGTGTCCCATGAGATTAATACTACCGTATTTTTACCTTTCTATGTTTTGATACATAAATCCTTACCATTGCATTACAACTGCCCACAGTATTCAGCACAACAACATGCTTTACAGGTTTGGAGTCTGGTATCAATAGGCAACACCATCTAGCCTAGGTGTGTAGGAGGCTGTGCCATCTAGGTTTGTGTAAGTACACTATGATGTTCACACAAAGATGAAATTGCCTTCCAAGGCATTTCTCAGAATCATTTCCCTGTCATTAAGTGATGCGTGACCGTAAATATATATAGTGCTAAGTCTTTATTACTTGAATTAATAAAGTCACTCAAAATTCCCCTATAACACAACTACTTTAAATTTTGTGAATTTCCTCCTAGGTCTTACCATGTTTACTTTATTGCAATCACCATGCAGATTCTCCCTCATTTTTTTTTTTTTTTTGAGACGAGTCTCGCTCCGTCGCCCAGGCTGGAGTGCAGTGGCCGGATCTCAGCTCACTGCAAGCTCCGCCTCCCGGGTTTACGCCATTCTCCTGCCTCAGCCTCCCGAGGAGCTGGGACTACAGGCGCCCGTCACCTCGCCCGGCTAATTTTTTTAATGTTTTTTAGTAGAGACGGGGTTTCACCGTGTTAGGCAGGATGGTCTCGATCTCCTGACCTTGTGATCCGCCTGTCTTGGCCTCTCAAAGTGCTGGGATTACAGACTTGAGCCACCGCGCCCGACCCTCTACCTCATTTTTAAAAAAAGACTTGATATTTATAACTAATATTTCCCCATGCTTCTACTATAGTCTTCATAATTATACTTTTTAATGGCTGAACAATGTTCAACAAGTGGATACTTCCAAAGTCACTGGTATTTAACATTTCCATTATTGTTATATTGTTGTATTTATACCTAATGCTTTTATGTACCTCTTTGGGCATGTAGCATTCAGTTTCTATGGGGTTACAGCCCTAGGAAATACACAGATGTGAAATTACTGGGTCAAAAGAAAAACTTTTATGATTGTATCAAGTTTTGCCGAATTGCTTTCCAAAAACATTATGCCAATTAATAAAGAGTATGAGTTATCTATTTCTGCATACCAAGTTACCACACCAAATGGCGTACTGCAATATGGATGTACTGTCTTATTGTTTCTATGGGTCAGGAATCCAGGCACAAGTTAGCTGCTTCTCTGCTTTAGGGGCTCTCAAGGCTGCAATGAAGGTGCTGGCTGAGGCTGGGGTGCTATGATTTGGCTTTGTGTCCCCACCCAAATCTCATCTTGAATTGTAATCCCATAATCCCTATGTATCACAGGAGGGACCCAGTCGGAGGTAACTGAATCATGGGGATGGTTTCCCCATGCTATTCTCAGGATAGTGAGTGAGTTCTCAAGAGATCTGATGATTTTACATTTCCATTTTTCCCTGCTGACACTCATTCTCTCTCCTGTCGCCAGGTGAAAAGGTGCTTTCTGCCATGATTGTTAGTTTCCTGAAGCCTCCCTAGCCATGTGGAACTGTGAGTTAATTAAACCTCTTTTCTTTATAAGTTACACCGTCTTGGGTATTTCTTCATGGCAGCATGAGAATGAATTAATACACGGGGTCTCATCTGAAAGCCTGAGTAGGGAAGGATTCTATTCTGGGCTCACATGGTTCTTGGTAGGGTTCAGTGCCTTGTGAGGGCCCCAGCTGTTAGCTGGCTGTTTGTTCAGAGGCTGCCTTTAGTTCCTTGCCACATGGGTCTCTCCAACATGGCGACTTGCTTCAAGACAAAACATGTGAAGCCAAGAAGACAAGGGTCTGTTAGCAAGACAGAAGTCACAATCTTTTGTAATCTAACCACTGAGGTGATATTCCCTCAATGTTGCTGTATTCTATGGTTTCGAACCAAGAGGATCAAGGCGAGTGGATTATGACCAGGGCCAAGAATATTAGGACCAGGGATCACTAGGGTCATCTTAGAAGATGCCTAACACAAATGTCACCAAGGGCATATGCTTGTATCAATTTTACCACAACCTTACTAACACTGAATGCTTTAGTGTTTTAAAATTACTAGTATGGGCCAGGTGAAGTGACTCATGCCTGTAACCCCAGCACTTTGAGACGCTGAGGCAGGTGGATCTCTTGAGAACAGAAGTTCAAGACCAGCCTGGGCAACACAGTAAAACCCCATCTCTACAAAAAAAAAAAAAAATTAGCTGGGCATGGTGGTGTAAACCTGCAGTCCAAGTACTAGGGAGGCTGAGGTGGGAGGGTTGATTGAGCCCAGGAGGCCAAGGCTGAGTAAGACTCTTCTCAAAAGAAAAAGAAAAGAAAGAAGGAAAGAGAGAGAAAGAAAAAGAAAAACATTCCCCGCAGAGCAGGTGTAAAGGACCACCTTCCACGCTAATGCCCCCTTCTCCAGCCTGGTGTTTCCCCCTAAGGCCATATGGCTCCTCTGCTTTCAGCTGCTGCCAAGTAACTTCCAAAAGATGTCAACTGATAGCAACTTGAAAAATTGCCCTAACTGAACTGGGGCTTTGAAAAGCTTTAAAATAAAGTGGTATCAGGCAGCAGCGAGTTCTCTGGAAATTGCTGGTATTTGGGCAGCACCTCCAAGACCTGAACACCTTATGCCATTTAGAAGCACTAACATTTAGAACATCAATCTTCTTTTAAAGCCTACTATGTAACCTCACCAGGCTCCACATTTTGCAAACTTTCTTTCACTTTCATCATCAAAACAATCGTGAAAGATACAGAGGAATGTGCCCATTTTACAGATAGGAAACTTAGGACCAGAAGTCACTTGTTCCAGATCGCCCTGTTAAAGTGGTGGGCCAGGATTTGAACCCATAGCTGGCTGCCCACTCCGCTCTCTCCCTGCCTCCTGAGATCCCCTTTCCTCAGCTGGTGCCTCTTAGAGCTCCATGACACTGCCCTTCCGTCCTGTTCCCCCTGCTGCACTAAATATGGTAGGCTGGTTGCCCCTTTCTCTTCAGTTAGCTGGAGAGGTATCCTCAGAAGTTCTGCTCAGTGACTGTTTTTTCCTAATAAAAATAGTGAGCCTGAAAAAGTTACTTCTAACCCAGTATGAGGAAAAAGGGCTATGGAGTCCACAGTATAAGTTTGCACCATGAAACTTTCAGGCTAAATAGGACAGTATAAATTTAGTGTTTTAAGAATGATACCTGGAGCCAGACTGCCAGCTTCAAATCCTTGTTCTGCCACTTACAAAGTTTTATGATTTAGGGCAAATTTCTTCACCTTTCTGTGATGTTCCCTTTCCTGTAAAATTGAAATAATAATATCACCAACCACATGCCCCAATTGGGAATAAATGAGAAAATGTCTCTAAGAACCTAGCACAGTGTCTGGGGGATAATAAAGGCCCCATTATGTTACTATAGGGACATGGTGGGCAGGAGACAAGCAGGACGCCTGGCCGGGTGAGGACCCACGCATTGATCTGGAACTCAGCCTGTGAGCTACACACATGGGGATCAAGTTTGTGTGTGTGCCCAGCTGCAGGCAAGGCTGAGTGGAGCCCTGCATTGTGGACACTGGTGGGGGACTGAGGCAGCAGGGCTAGGAGGGTCAGCGAAGGGCAGAGCCAGCATCAGCACCACGACTCTGAGACTCCCCTCCCTGTATTCTGGCTGTGTCCCGATGTGCATGTGCGTGTGCGTGTGCGTGTGCATGTGTGTGTGCCTGCACGTGGCGGGGGAGGCTGAGGAGGGGGAGTCTTTGTGTGTTGATGTCGTTTTCTGTAAGTCGGCCAAGACCTGGGTCTGTTTATGATTGCTCTGGGATGTCAGGCATCTTTGCAAGTTCGTACCCAGAGAACCATGAACCTGGGATGGGGAGAAGTGAGGTCTAAGCCAGGAGAACAATGCTCACAAGGGATCTAGGACAGAGTGCTAATGATCCTGGCACACAGCAGGCACGGGAGAAGGAGAAGTGCAGGGTGACAGTTACAAGGCAGCTGCCTACCACCCGACTTGGCGACAAAGCCCTAGAGCATGTTTCTTAACCTTTCTGAGATCAACCTCTGACCTGTGTGTAGGGACGCAATATTATTAAAAAAATCCTCCTAAAGCCAGGGTCCCTGGTGCCCTAGGTAGCAATCGGTGCCCTATAGGAAGTGACCCAGAAGTGTCCTGGTTTCCCCACTGATGTCAGCAATCATGGATGACTAGGGCCAGGCCCTGTCCTTGGCAAGTCTCAAGGTGGGAAGACAGGACAGGGTCAGATAGGATTCAGAACGGCCGTATCTAAAGGGAATGGAGCCAGCCTTGCTAATTGGTCAGAGGCTTTTAGGAAGCTGCGGCTGTGTCTGTTATAGCTTAGGGCCCTGTTCATTTATGAAAAAATATTGCTTCTAGTTACTGAAACTGCAAAAAATAAATATTATGGAGAGCCTCAGTTCAGAGCTGTAAACAAGATACACAATCCTGCCATTGCAGATTTTACATGTCAGTGGAGGAGATGCTAAGCCGCTAGCTCCATGGTAACTTAATTAGTTAGCAGTAGGGCGAGGAAGAGGTATTGGGGGTATGACAGTGCACAAACAGGCATCTGACGTGAGACAGGGAAGCTTCCGTGGGAGAAGCAACGTGTCAGTGAACGGGTCCCCCTGGGCATTCCAGCAGGAGGAACACTAAATAACTGAGCGCCAGGCAGGCTGGGAGATAGCAGCCCAGACCAAGGACACAGCGAACATGAAGGTTGTGTGGGGAGGAGGGGAGAGGAATTCAGGAACCAAACTGCAGTGAGGCAAGGATCCAGAGCAAGGGGAAGTGGGACACGGGATGGGCAGGAGATGTGGTTTCTGCCAGAAAGCATGGGGATATTCCTAAAGGGCTTTAGGCAGGAGAGTCACCCAGTCACACCTGCACTTCAGGAGCTAGGAGAACTGGGACAAGAGTCATGAGGCCCCGTGGAGATGAAGAAAAGGGGACGGAGCCGAGAGCCACTGGGAGGGAAAGCACCAAGGCTGGCGCTGGGTGAGTCATGCAGTGGGAGGCTGGAAGGGGGAAGAAGGGACACGGAGCTTAGCCAACCGGCCAGGGGTGCTCTCAGTGGGAGGGCCTGAGGTGGCCTGAGCCAGGCTGTGGAGGATTAGAGGATGCACAGAGTGCAGCAAGGCAGAGCAATGTGCACACACACATACACGCACAGGCACATACACACACATACACATACACACACATACACACACATACATGGCTAGAGGACGTGTGCACCAAGGTTGGAGGGTGGCATGTAAGCGTTGTGTGAGGACTGGGAACAGCCCATGAGTGGAGACAAGGTCTGTGACTTGGAGCAGAGGGAGCTGAGCAAGCAGCCGTTTCTCCCCACTGTGGGGCTGCCTTCGCTGACTGTTCAGGCAGATCAGCAGGAATGCCTGAAGCCATCGTGGCTCTTGCAGTACTGAGAGCAGACGGGCTGGGGGTGGGAGTAGTGAGAAGGTGGAGGCCCATCAAAGCCAGGTCCCAAACCGTACTGCTCAGGAATGAGGTGGCCCCACATGGCCTTGTGGCCCTTTAAGTACAGCAGCAGCAGGTGGGTGACACCCCAAGGGACCCCGTGAAATGATGTGTCCCTGAGTGAAGACTGGTTCAGCCAGCCACTGCCTCATCCATCCACGTATGTACTCCAAGCCCATGCCCAATGCCGCCCTAGGTACCAGGGCCTGGGGAATGAGCAAGGATGTGCTGCCCTCAGGAACTCAGCCTGTTCAGGTCCAGTGTGGAGACCCAGGAGCTGACACAGCACACTGAGCTCCAGCCCACAGTGAGGGCCCCAGCAGGGAGGTGTGCCATTCCCACTGCATTCTGCAGCCCCCCGACTCACTCTCCTCTTGAGGTCTCCTGCCAGGAACTGCCACCACTGTGTTCAAATACTTTCCCATGGAAAACATAATCTCCAACTAAAAGATGTCATGAAGCCAAATTGGGTCTGGCTCCCTGATCACAACTCTCCTCACCTTGCCCTACTCTGGTCCCCTGTCCAAGGATCTAAACCAGGGGGCCGGCTCCATCCACCACCAGAGGGCTCAAGGGAAATAAGCAGGGCGGGGCTGCTGTCTCCCCCAGATCCCAAGTGGGACCAGGCCTGACCCACTGCCCACCCCCACCCCTCTGCTTTCCTCGCTGACCCCTATGAGCCAAGCTCACCCCCACCTTGCTGCCTCTTCTCTCCAAGCCCTGGCCACGCAGTGCCTGGGGAGGCTGACAGCTCTGGATCGCACCAGTGGGCTCCCTCCCCGCAGGGCCTCAGTTTTACAATGGTTTGTTCCTTCCTCTACCTTGGAGTGAAGCTCTTGCCAAGTCTCCCATGCCACAGGTCTCGGAGTTCCGGAACACCTCCCTTCCCCTCCCCTCCCCTCAGATCTGGGGCTCTCCTGGCGCCCTGCATCCCTTGCTGGTCTCCCTCTCCCTGAATGTGCCATCTGCATCCACGGGACCTTGATTGACAACACTCTTAAGGTACCCTCGACTTAAAACAGTCTCTCGGGCCCACACTAACTTCTCATCTTGGCCTCTCTAGTCTTTTAACCTCTACCAGAGTGGAGGAAAATTGGGATTTGACCACCACTTAAATTGAGCGGTGGTTCTTCACTGTAGGAAAGTCTTCACATAACTGCAAGTACCCCTGGTGGTGAGGTGTGGCCTGACTCCCACAACCGGGTGGCATTTAAGACCAAGAAGGAGGCTGGGTGAGGAGGCTCATGCCTGTAAATCCAGCACTTTGAGAGCCTGAGGAGTGTGGATCACTTGAGCCCAGGAGTTTGAGGCTGCAGTGCAGTGAGCTATGATCATCACTGCAGTCCATTCTGGGCAACAGAGTGTGATGCTCTCTCAAAAAAAAAAAAAAAAAGGAGACCAAGAAGGAGGGATGTCTGTTTATTTACAGCGCACCCTTTGCACCAGGCCCTTATGTTCATGACCTTACCCAACTCCACAATCTTGCAAGGTAGTTTACATCATCTCCGCTTTTCAGTTCAAGAAACAAAGGCTCAGATTCATAGTTCCTGAATAGTCCCTCATAGTCCCTGAGTTCATTAAGTAGTGATTACAGTAGAATCTAAGCTATTTAATTCCAAAGCCTGTGATTTTTCTGGCCTTGAGCTATAGATCCAAAGGCTACAACAGGGCCCTGCAGACTCAGTGGCAGGGTGGTGTCTGCACAAGCTGGAAGTGTCCTTGTGATGAGCTCATCAGGAGCGGCCCGGGTTGAGCATCATCCTCCACATGTGCAGCAGAGAGTCCCGGCGGGTGGTGTAGGGTAAATGTTTGATGCGGAACCAGTGTCTGGGGACGATGTTCCCGCTGGGTGTATACAGCTTCTCCCCCTCCTTGCCCAAGAGACTGCGCAGGGCCAGATTGCCCGACAGAAGCTTCTCATAGAACTCCACTCCACCGCAGACATAGGCTGCAGAGAGGGAGGCCGTGCGGCGGTCCAGCCAGGACTCCGCGGCATGAGTGAGAGAATCCTTGGAGAAGGCGTAGACCACAAAGCCTGCCACTGCTGCCACCAAGTTGAAGGCAGCCCGTAAATTCATGGGGCCTCCATAGAGCCCCAGGGTGTACTTGGCACCCACGCCCAGTGCCCAGGTCCCTGCCAGGCAAGCTGGGGCCAGCAGGGCCTGCAGGGCAGTGGTATTGCTTTCCAGGTACACCACTTCCCTGGCCAAGGCGAACTTCTGGGCTTCATGGGACAGGGTCAGGGCAGCTCTCAGCCGGGCTCCTGCTGGGCTCCGCCAGTCCACTCTTCGCCCATGTATGACCGTGGGATGGTCAGGGCTGATCACTAGGTCCCCCAAGAAACTGGCAGGGATGCCCACCACAGCCCCAGCAGGGAGCCTGGGGAAGCCTGCACTCACAGGCTGGAAGGTGAAGGTGGTGAAGGGCTTGTAGCAATGGCCTGAAGGAACACCTATGTCCTGTAGCACCTCTTGGAAGAGGCTCTGCAGCTGTGGAGGGAGCGGGGCTGGCTGGCCCTGAGCCCAGTACTGGTAGAGCCATTGGACCACGGGATCCGGGAAGAGGTGGTACGAGATTTGAACTCCAAACAGGCCTGCACAGGAACCCACCAAAAGGCCTGTCCTGTGTCTCTGCACAAATGCTGCAGTCCGCCACAGGGGACCTGCCATGAGTGTGGTCACCGTGGACAATCTGGGTCAAGAAAAAGAGAAGTCAGCCAGTTTCCCCGGGTCAGCCTGCAGACTGAACATCTTCCAGGGGTCACACCACCTTTTAAAACCGAAGTAACACAGTATAGTGGTGAAGAGCGTGGGCTCTAGAGCCAGAGCGCCTGCGTTCAAATCCCAGCCCCATCTCTGTGCATCATTTCCCCATCTGCCAAACAGGTGTGTCGTAATAGCCCACCTCTAGGGTGGCTGTGATGAGCACATGAATAAACATAAAAAAGATATTTAGCGTCTGGCTCAGAAGCAGGTATTCCTTATAATGGGTGTAATGACTTTTATTCCCATCGCTGGGCACAGCACTCAAACCGCCTCATCCCACTCATCCCATAGGAAAGCCCTATGATTACTAATTTATAAGAAAAACGTGTTCAATTTATTGAGCGCTTACTATATGCTAGACTCAGTTCTGAGCACTCTAACAATTGAACCCTTACAACCCCATGACCAATTACTACAGCTACCCCTATTTCAAAGCTGCGAAAACAACTGGCCAAAATCCTAAGCTAGTAAAGTGACAGTGTTATGGGCTGAACTGTGTCTCCTCCTCCCCAATTCATATATTCAAGTCCTAACCCCCAGTACCTCACACTGTGGCTGTATTTGGAGACAGGGTCTTTAAGGAGGTAATTAAGATAAAATGAGGCCATCAGTATGGATCCTAATCCAATTTGACTGGTGTACTTATAAGAAGAGATTAGGATGCAAACAGGCACAGCGGGAAGACGATGTGAGGATCCAGGGAAAAGGCTACCACCTACAAGCCAAGAAGGGAGGTCTCAGAAGGCACTAACCCTGTTAACATCTTAGTCTTGAACTTCCAGCCTCCACAACTCCCAGAGGATAAATTTCTGCTGGTTGGGCCACCCCGTCTGTGGTACTTTGGCATGGTAGCTCTAGCAGACTAACATCGGAATAGTATTTGAGAACACGCTGTCACGTGTTCACAGCAAACTTTTTGTTTTAGAAAACTCGTTATGCTAAATTACAAACATATACCAAAGTAGACAAAATAGTACATCCATCAACTTCAATCCCATCAACTCATGGCCAATCTTGTTTCATTTCTCTTTCCACTCACGCCTCCGTCCAACTGGTTTATTTTGAAACATCCCCGGGCATCTTATCCTTTCATCCTTGAATATGTCAGTAAAAATTCACAATTATTTAACTTTGATTGAAACTTACTGTATTCCATGTCCGTGAAAAGCGCTTAATGAGCAACGAATGAGTTGCCGCAAACAAAAACGCAGGGTACAGCTTGGCCTATCTTAATCAAGAACTCCTATAAGAATCATTATCATTCGGGCTTTTTTTTTTTTTTCCCCCAATTTGGAAAGTGAGGCTAAGAAAGGAAGCGTCCAGGTCAAAGTCCAACGTCCCTAGGACCACTGCGTTGCTGGGCCGGCCTAGGAGATAGTACCAAGCAGCCCGCCCGGGACTGGGCGAGGACGGGCTGCAGGAGCCCCGCAGAGGGGTCCTCGCTACGCTTCCACCCTGGGCCCCCTAGGCTACTCCGTAGTCTAAACGCGCTTCCGGGTCGCATCAGGCCGGAAAATGGTCCCTCCCGCTTGCCCGTGCGCTCACCTTCCCTGCTGCAGCCCGGAACGCCTAAAAGTGCGCGCGGCAAGGCGGCCGCAAAGCATGCCGGCCCGGGATCTGGGGGCGGGGACTTCGGGAGGCGGAGCTCGCCGGCCCGGGGCCTCGCGACGGGGACTTCAGGGGGCGGAGCTCGCTCGACGGGTCTGGGGGCGGGGACCAAGAGAGGTCTGGGGACGGGACTCTTGGGGGCGGGCCTGGGGGGGGCTCAAGGGGATCCCCGTGAGTGGCTCCGGCCGCCGCAGAGGCTTCTCCCCTAACTGTGCACCTTGGGGTGGGTCCGCAAGCCCTTTCTCCTCTGCGTTGAAACGCGTCTTTGATTAATACAAAAATTAGCTGGGCGTGGTGGCTCACGCGTGTAGTTCCTTCCAGCTGCTGGGGAGGCTGAGGCCGGAGAATCGCTTGAACCTGGGAGGCAGAGGTTGCAGTGAGCCGAGAATACGCCACTGCACTCCATTCTGGGCGACAGAGCGAGACTCCGTCTCTCACACACACACACACACACACACACACACACACAAAAGGTGTCTTTGATCATGCCTTGAACCCCCGAAGGAACGGCAGCCCCGCGTGGGTCACCAGGCGGCCTATGGCAGAGCCCCCATCAGAGCCCATGCCCATCTGACTGGCCGGCCCGTGTACTTTCCCGTTTGGAAGCGCTCACCCTCGGCGGGGAGCTCTGAGCTTTATGTTTATTACCATGTTCGCTGCCCCCAAGCTCCTCCCGGGTGCTTCACACTGTACAGTCCACACAGCAGAGTCCCATCTGTCATTTCTCCTTTCCAGCCTCTCTGTGAGGTAGATGAGGGATTAGCTGGTCTGTGCACCAAATCCAGCTCTGCATCTGCTTTTGTAAATAAAGTTTTATTGGAACACAGCCATGCCCAATCCTTTACAGAAGGAAACCAGACTGCCCAGGGATAAAACCTGGCTCCACCCATTACTAGCTGTGTGATAATGAGTTGATGTATATGTATCCTGTGCCTCACGGTTTGTGCCGCCTAGCCATTAGCTATTATTATTCAAGTCTGTTCTGAGACCCCCCAACTTTGGCTGCTCAGTTGTTTGTATGTAAATAGTGCAATGTGACCTCAGCCAAAGCCAGAATGTGGGACATTCTACAGGGCAAATGACGTGGTTTATCCAACGAATCAATGGCATTTGTTTGTCTCAAACAAACAAATGAACAAACAAACAAAAGACACCTTGGAGAAATTTGAATATGGATTTGAATATCAGATTATATTAATAAATTATTGCTTATTTCATCAGATGGGATGATGACATGGAGTTTACATAAACCAAAAAATTGTTACTAGAGATGCATACTGAAATATTTACAGGTGAAATGACACAATGTCTACTATTTGATTCAAAATATTCCAACGAAACCAAACCCAAACAAAAACAAAAACAAAAACAAAAAACAGGAGCACAGATGAAACAACGTTGACAAAGAGTTAGTTATCATGAAGCTGCATGACAGGTTCAGGGATCTTCATTATACCATGCTCTACTTTTGTGTATGTTTGGACATTTCCATAATAAAAAGTTTAAAAACATTTTTTAAAGTAGGCTGGCCAGTTGGACTCCATCAAAATGAAAAATTTTTGTGCAGGAAAAATACTATCAAGAAAAGTGGAAAGACAATTCACAATAGGCGAACATATTTACAAATCATAGACCTGATAAGGGTATAGTATCCAGAATATATAAAGAACTCTTAGCAACTCAACAACAACAAGCCATTTAATAAATGGGCAAATGACTTGAGTAGACATTTCTCAAAAAATATATACAATATGCCAAAAAGCACATAAAAATGTGCTCAATAGTATCAGTCGCTAGGGAAATGCAAATCACCACAATGAGATACTATTCACAACCACTGAATTTCTATAACAAAAAAAAAAAAATTAGAAAATAATCAGTGTTGGAGAGGATGTAGAGAAACTGAAACCCTCGTACATTGCTGGTG